TACTATCTATCTTCTATCTATCTATTATCTATCTATCTATTATCTATCTATCTTCTATCTATCTATCTGTTTATCTATCTCTCTACCTGCTACAAAGTATCACTATGTAGTTCCTGCTGTCCTTGAATTCACCGCATTGCCCAGACTGGCCTAGAATTTGCAGTGATCCTCCTGCCTCACCATTTAAAGTTCTTGGATTACAGGAATGTGCCACCATGCATGGCTATACACTATGTGTATTTAACTCTGTAATATCATAAATGTATTTTTACCTAAAATTTTTTATCATTTTGTCTGTCATGGTTAAGGCATTGATAGTTTTCAATGGTATTTGAATATGATGTGATCCACTTTTTTATTTTTCCATTTGGATAAGCAATAATTTCAGCGCTACTTACTGAATGATATTATCTTTTCCAGGAATTGCCAAATTATCATCAGTAAAGTATTCAGTGCTTCCTTTCTGAATGACATCTTCATATAGGTGAGGGTAGAATTGATACTAATTTTCTCTGTAATGCAGTAATATATTGTTTTAACTGATGTAGCTCTATAATATTGTAATCTTGATATTTCATAAGGCAAGAAATCCAATTTCTTATTTTCTATCAAATCAAATATTCTTCCTGTATTGCTTTTTCATATATACTTGAAAATATGCTTCTGACATACAAAAAATGTGAAGATTGGCTTTAATTTAATAAAGCTACTTGATGATAATTGATGTATCTCTGATGTTTTGTGTATGTATCAAAAATATAATATTCTTGCTATTTATTTAGGTCTTATTTAATGTCCTTTAGAAAAATATTAGATATTATTTGACAATTTTTTCCTTGTAACTATTTCCATCTATTTATTTGTCATTGCTGTTGTTATAATTATCTTTTAGAACTCACATTTTCTAGATAAAATTTGCTTTTCAAAGGATCCTAAACAGGTAGATAACCTAAAATTATGAGTAGTGTAGTCATTACCATGTCTGGGATGCTTGAGAGGAGTCATGAGAAAATGTTAGTCACAGGCACATAGTTAAAGTCAGGGAAATAACTTTCAGAGGCATATTGTATATCGACATGACTGCAGTTAATGGTTATATATTTTTATACATTTTATAGGTAGACTTTAGATCTACGTAATGATCACATCCCTCATAGGGTATTTCCGCCTGTACATGATATATCTTGATTCCTTTGTTTCCCATTTCCCTCCCCTGTCTTCAAGCCCTCTTCTCCTCCTTATTTACAAAGCTTTATTTCCATTTTATGTTTCTTTTCTCATTTTTTCTTTTTTCTTCCTTCCTCTTCC